GGAGGAAGAGGAGGGGGAAGGAGAAGGTCGCTCCTCGTTCCTCCTTCTCGCCTGGGTTTTTCAAGCTTCCTCCGGTGAGGTTTCTGTTGAAGTGAGTTTGGACACGAATCCTCTCTTCCTCTTGGTCCTGTAAAACTTTAAATCCTTTTTCTTTCCCCTCATAAACTAACTTGACCACAGCTTTTGGCAATCTGAGGCTTTTTAAGGTGGTGGGTGTTTGATGGTTTGAGGTTGGGTTTTTTTTTTGTGGGTTTATTTATGTGATTTTTTGCTTGTTTGTTTGATTTTCTTTTTCCCCCAGCCCCTGGCCAAGCTTCAAGCAGGTGGGTACCTCTATAACACGAAAGTTTGCACCCATGTTTAGGGGAAAAAAAACCCCAAACGCATCAAACCAAGCCTAAACTGTCCGTGCATGTACTTGGTTTCCAATGCACCTTTCCCTGCAGTGTGTAGCTGCTAAGGGCCACTCTTGGGTTCTGCTCTTGGTTTTTCAGTCTGCAGCAACTGTTGCAAGAGCAGAAGGTGTTACTGCTGGAGTTTCGTTGCCTGAACAATGTAAATGTTGGTGTTAATTAGAGTTTGATCCAGGCACGTTCCAGGTACGCGACTGCTTTTGAAGCAAAGCCTGGCTCAAAGTAGTTATCTCCATTGTCTTGAGCGCAAGGTGTGTGTTTTTAATTGTTGGTTGCCGGCCTGTTACATAATCATTTTGATGCAAGGGTAGGAGTAGTAGGTTTTTTTGTGGTTGCATGTTAAGAAAGCTGGAAAAACAGGTCCTCCTTCAGCTTGAATTTATAAAAGATGGTTCTAAGCAGGACCTTTATCTCTTCTTCTACCTTGCAGGTTTATTGTGAAACAGTGGCCGTGTCAATGGGAAATAGCAGTTAACCACAAGCGCTCTGTTCGCTGAGGAGGATGCAGGGTTGTTGTTCATACCTCTGAAGGAGCTGGTAGGTGAGAGTTTAGGCCTTTACGAGTCTGTGGTTGGTGAGACTGCCTTTTGACTTTCCTGGTATCGCTGTTTTCTCATGACTAATCCGAGGTCACATCAGAATTGAGAAGCCTTTTGGCAGCAGAATGAGTGTGATACGGTTTCCGACTCTGATCTGAATGAATCGTAAAACGACCAACGTTTCTTTTTGCTACCGTCTTTCCCCGTGTACCTGGAAAAGTTACCGTGCACCAGTGGTGTTCTAGCAACACTTTAAGCAAGAAAGGCACTGATAATGCAACAGAAAGAGTAGATACAGAGATGAATTAAAACCCACTTGCTTCCAGGAGTTAGAGGAAAGAGCCTTCTACGGCTTAACGTCCATGAATTGTTTGCATTCTTTAAAAGCAACAAGACTTCCCCTAGTGAATATTGATGTATTTAGCTTCTGTGTATTGTGGCACTTGAGCTCCAAGTTGACAGTGATTTGAGATTTGTTTCGAATGTGGAGCTCTGGTGCGAAATACTTGTTTAATTAAAATGTCTGTGCTCTCAAAACTGTGTTGGCATCTCGAGCATAAATACTTTCTAATTTGGGCTCCGGTTTGTGCATGACATTATCTCTTTTCCCGTTAATCTGAAGAGAAAACACTGCCAAACATGAAACATATTCTGTGGGCTTGTAAACTGTTTTGCTGTGGGTGTCTGAGCCTGATCAAATTCACGTGCTTAAGTTAAAAACTAGAACTTCAGCTACCTCATTCTGAGGCATGGTTAGTACTCATGTCTGGGAGGCTCTCGGGATTCTTTTGCTTTCTAAAGTTAAAAATTATAGTGTAAAATATTTATTAGTTTGGCAGTGGAGTGGTTATGATCGACTCGTGGCTGGAAAGCAGTAAAAGGAGTTGTGTTATGGTTTTGTACGGGGAGACCAACTAACAGTAAAAACCCCTTCTCGAAGTTGTCTTTTTTGGGAGCTCTGCACTTGATTTATCCTTTGACTTACAAGCCACAAGCTCTTTCCCACTTTGCAGACCTGTGGAACAACCAGACTTAGGAACACTATACCTGTATGTTGGTTTTTTATTATTATTAGAATATGGATGCTGAAGTCTGATATTTTTCTGTGGGCATTAGCTTAAAATGTAAATATGTCGTGTTACCTTCATGGCTTGAATTTTCATTTCACTCAGCCAGATATTATTTATATATTATGTTAATAGGCTTCTAATTTTTACTGACTGATAGAGAACCCAGCAGGATGTGAAGAAGTGATTCTGGGACCTGGATTAAAATGTAAATTGAGTAAATATAACATTTTTCTCACACGTTTGGAAGCTTTAAAGCGGCTTGTTCATCTCTGCTTCCCTTTTCCTGCGTTTAAAAACTGATTCAAACAAAAACCACCCCAAGACAATGAATATGTATCTATGTAAAGATTAGATATTGTCTCTCTTGCACAGAAATAAAAAGTATTGACTGATGATTTGAGGACAAATAGATCTCGTGTCCTATTTCTACTGGAACAGCTGCAGGGCAGATGTTCCAGTTTGTTAGAATCACTAGTGCCTGGGAACAAGTATCTGCCCATAAATGCAACAGTGTTGTTGATTAGCATCTCGATTTATTTCAGGAATGGAAATATGGACAATATTGAGCTTATGCTGAGTGGCTGTTTGCACTCACAAAAGGGAGGACTGGGCCCTTAGAAGTGGCTGGTTTCACAAATGCGTTCTTGTTTAGTGTAACTTATACATGAAATTAAGTAATTTTCTAGATAACAAGATTATACTTGTTGAGACAAATGCCTTTTTCGTCTGCCTTTTCTTAATATTTACAGGTAATAATATTCAGGTATTATGTCAAGGGTCATGATACATCTTTTGCAGTTATTTAAAACTCATCCCCTAGATTTTTTTTTTTTATTGAACGATTCTCAGTTTGAGATGTGTTGCTAAAGGAGTTTTTCCCCGGCAGCTGAAGGCTTTTTTTCGGACACTTCCCTCTGGTTAGAGACCTTGTCTGTCCCCATGTTTTAAGTAGAATTTGAAAGACTATGTTGTCTTAAAGCTATTAGGCTGCAGGTGCTGCAGATTCTGAGAACTGGATGTAGCTTCCAACATTATATTGACCAGAGAATATGCAGATTTTTACAATATTGACACAGGGAGTGTCTGAACAACACCGATCAAGCATGACACGGTACCTTTTAGTTTATCCGAGCCATCTAATGTAAGAAAAATGAACTTTCTTTAGGTTATGTATGGAGTTACATGGCAAAAGCAGAGGGGAGGGGAAAAAAAAAAAAAGCAGGGCTTGTAGCAGACTGTCCAAAATACTCTGCTCTCAAGGAACTGAGAAATATTCCTTATTAACAGATAGGCTTCATTAATGCTTCGTGACTGCGCTGTCGTGGGAGAAATTAATTCCAGCATTGCCTTTTGGAAGTGGTGCGTGCTCTGTCCTGCTGCAAATCCATCCGAGCTCGGTGCTGCAGCCAGAGGAGCCTGGGACCGCGGGGAGGCTTATCAGCGGTGGTGCCAGGCAGTTACCATTCTAGTGCAATCACATTGATTTTTAGATCCTGGGTGTGGAACAGTCTCTGCGTGGCCCAGTTTGGAGCAGACTGATAAGGCTCCTGGTCTCTTAGCAACCGCAGTCTGCCATAGCCAGAAACCTGCCCCTCTGCAGCTGGAGGGAAAATTGTGAATGTCTCAAATCGGTATCTCGAGCCAAGGTAAGTCATTCCCCCCCGGCATCTTTAATTTAAACACTTGTGCATTCAAATGTAAGGAATGTGTTGGCCGCAGTTTCTTAACTGAGGGAAAGCAGAACTTCTCTGTCATTCATAAGATATTCTAATTTCTTTCCCTGTTCTTATTTAGACCTGTGTCTTTCCTGGGCATGGAGGTGCAATATGTCCTTCTCTTAACTAGACTCGTAGCAGAAGTTGCCAGCAAATCTACTGAAAGTTCGGTAGGTACTTGGGTATTTTTTTGGTCATGCTATAAAAACAGAAGGATCAGATCACTTTCCTCTCACGTTACAGTTTACCGAGGACTTTCTAATCGACAGAAATGACCTCTGCTGCTGGTGGTCCTGAACTGTAACTGTTACGGAGGGTCAATTTGCTATGATGGCCGATTGCCTGTTAAAGCATCGAATTCTTTTGAGTTATGTGCTTGGAGGCCAGCGGGGATGCTACTGATAATGCCTCACACCATGTGGAAAAAGCACCGTGGTGATCAGAAAACGCCACTTTTCAAGCTGCTCGGTTTAACTACAAACAATCCAAAGCATGGGTACCCAAAATATTAACTTTTCAAATGACTGAGCATCTCTGAAGCGAGCACTGCTGAAAGTCGCACAAAAAGCTTGGAGCAGAAGACTTTGCTTGCAGGAGAGATTGATCAACAAAACTTTTAAAGAAACTGGCCTTAAGGATGTTATCTATAAGTCTTCTGGTTCTTAGCTGTAGCCTGCCTCCCCAGGATGTACTAACAGCGTGAAGGCAGCCTACTCATTTCGGTTTGGACAGTCCCAACCATTTTTCCTGATAGCCTTGATCTTTGTCGCCCCTGGATTTGATGGGTTTTGCTGAGCAACACGATAAGACTGGCTGTGTTAGGTGTGTTTAAGTTACCTGGATGGCTGAATATAGATCAGGTCTTGCTACTTTTGATCAGGGATAGTTCATCTCTTTTTATGACTAATTTGTGGAGGTTTTTTAGGAGAATGTACCTGTTTTGTGGCTTATTTTTCTTCTACGGATTGACAGAGTGGATATGCCCATGTCTGTAGGGGATGTTACTAATATCTGTCAAAAGAACCACGGAGTTTCTAACAACCGTTTATTTCTAAGCTTATGTCACAACTTGTAATTTGTAAACAGCTTTGAAATTGGGGGTGGTTTTTGCATAAACAAACCAAAAATAAACAAACTGCATGTCTTCAGGATACATGAAGTTACTCTTTTATGTTAAATGCTGGAAGAAGCAGTTTTTGTAGTTCTGCTGGATGGCTCTGCTGGATGTGGAAGTTGCCATCGCTTGCAATGTGGGCATTCCGTGCAAACGGGCTTTTTTTTTTTTTTTTGCCAAGAGTATTTCTGAGCAAATCTCTCAGGGCATTTGTGTGGTGCTGCAGGAAGGGTAACTCCCCTCTGTGCTTCACTGAAGAATTTAGCAAGTATATTTAGCAAGTATATTTCTTGAGGCTTTGTCCAAAGTCAGCAGCAGAGTGTGTGTTTGTCCTCAAAGTGTTGGCTTGGGGGGCAGCTCCTGGGTCAGAATCAGCTTGCTGGTGCATCTGGCTTGTTCTCTCCTTGTGAGATTGCTTAAAGCAGAAAGAAGTTGTTGCAGCCAGTGTTAACTACAGTTGCTACTTATTCCTCTGTGCTCTCTGGAGATATTTTTTTGTTGTTGAAGCATTTGAGCCAACTTAAGAGCTGTGTGAGATGTAATTTCTTTCCTTAGGTTTCAGAAACAGAATGCTGTGTGGATATGTTGGATTCAAACACTTCCTGTCCAGTAACCAACCAGTGCAGTCCAGGTATAGTCACTGTTTAATAAAATTCCAGATTGTGGTGTTTGACAGTTAACACCAAAGCACAGCCCCTTGTTAATTGGGGACTGAAAACAAAATAATTAGTGCCTGTACATATTGAAGCCTTTCTTCCTCTAGACGCAAGGTAAAGCTTCTTACGACTCACAAGTGTTGTTCTTGCATGGTAAGGAAAATAGACGACTCTTAATAAGGTTATTCTTTTATCTATTTTATTTAGTGTGCAGCTGGATTATGTAAGAGCTATTGTAAATGCCTGAAAGCCCAGATAATGAGCATAAACCCAGAAAATGTGTATTTAAGGGAGCATTAAGAATGATTTCAGTATTGTCTTGTTCGCACAGAATGCCTTATTCTTTCTTGTGCCATGTGTGTAGACTTGTTTTCTTTTAATTAGAGTTAAAAACTTCTTTTGTCACTCTCTGGCAGTAGCAAAAGGGTAGTTTTGGTTTTGTTTTGTTTTTTAATTTTGTAAGACCATTTTATTTAAAACCAGAGAATGTAAGTGGGAAAAATGGCTTCAGAGCCCACAGTAACAAGACAATTAGTGACTTAAAAATTGGGGTCTGCTTCTGGCTTCAGTCATTTCCTTCTGACAGTTGTTAAAGCATTTTAAGACCACTTATTGCCACTGCTTCATTAGCTTCTCTAACTCTTTCTTCATTTAATGCATTCAATTCTGTTTCTAAATGATCTTTAATATGGTATGAACAATTATTTCCAAGGTATAGGATTGTGTTCTCTTAAATCTTGCCATACACCAGTAATATACCAAGATTTTTGAATTCAAATAAGTGTGTCAATGCTTCCTTCTTCTTTCTGTGGAAAGTCTTCGCACTTCCACTGGGTCTGTGTTTAGATTAAATGTCACATGTAATTTATTACTGTGGGCATCAAACGTGCTGCTTCTCTCTAAGGAAAATGTAGCAGCAGAGCTGTTTTCAAATCAGCACCTTACTAATGGTTTGCTTTATGGGGTAATTGATACCAGTGTGGCTCAAGGCTTAGAGAACTGGATTTTAGCCAGCACAGTAAGGTGGTTTTTGTTGGTTTTTTTTTCCCTTTAGAACGTAATATGATCTAGTAGGAATATCCTTCTAATCTTCATGTCTCAAGTTTAAGCTTCAAGTGAAACCACCACAACCGTACTTCATTAAATTCAGTTGTTATTGAAGATGTGCCCTGTTTTGTTTTTTTTTTTCCTTTAAGACAAAGACGTAGCGATATGTGCATTTCAACGTAAATCAAGAGATTTGAACATCGAAGACATAGGCCAAGATGAAAGTTTAATCAGTTTCCAGCCTGCCTGGTAGGGTGACTGATAGAAAACACTCGCCATCTGTCACCAAATAGTTGCAACGGGCTTGGGTGGTGCTTAAAGTGAAACGAATCGTACAATACTTGAGAGGGCTGAGGCATGGGAAAAAAAGACTGTGCTGTGGCAATATTTGTGTTTTTAGCTTGCCGTGCTTCATGTGATTGACCATAAGGACACCACCATTTCTATCCGAGTATGCTTGGTTGGGTTTCTAGGATCTTTGTCCCTGCCTACTTCTGTTTTCAACACTATGTATTAAAAGGGTATTAAATTTTTGTTTCGACAGCGTGCGATGTCTGAAAAGAAATGGTAAAGTTCTACTTCTTTTTTTAATCTTGTTGGAGGGTAGTTACAGGTTGTTGGACGCTTCCCATTTTTCTCAAAACTACAAGGCGTGAAGCGGTGACTGGAGCTATGCTGGAGTTGTCCTCTGGGAGTTGTTGGCTTGTGACTCTACAGTCACTTGAAAAGTTACATCTTTTCTGGGTTAAACACTTTGAAAGGAAACCTTAATTTGTGTGGCTGAGTAGGAAGCAGGAGATGTTTTCAAGCAGTTGACCAAACCTCTACCTCTTTCTGAAGACTGGGAAGTACCGCTGGTGTTGCTGCTCTTGTTTTCAAACTTCTGTACATCTTGTTCTTCTGCAGGCTGTTACAGACGATGGAATGAGGACGGCAGTAGCAGCTGCATTAAATGCAAAAATGAAACCCTTCCTGCCTCGTCTGCTGACAACCTGACCGAGTGCAGAACCAGTGAGTTTTTTTACCGACCCTTTCTTTCAACGAGGGTTTTTTGGTCCTGACGTGCCTTCTTGCACGCGTGGTCCAACACAGACTGTTCAAGAAGGCATCATGTGGTGCAGATTTCCTCTCCCTCTCATGTGAAACTTCGGTGTTTTCCAAAGTCCTAATATAACTTTGAGCTTTTGGCCATGCAAGAAAACCTATGGAAACTTTGAAGTTTAATTTCCAGAAACTGTGCGGAGGGCTGTGGAACCATTGCAGGGTCTAGAATGGGGTGGGGGGCTGTGAAAAATCAAAATCTTGTTAGACTACCTAACCTGCGAAGCCAAAAGTTATTTTTTTAGTTTATTTTTTTTTAAATATATCGATCTGCCCAATGTAAGTTTTTAAAATAACATAAAAATGATTAAACTTAGAGGATAGAACCTGTATCAGACAGTGAATGCTGAATTTTGTGGTTGCTTTAAGCTCTGCTTTAAGAAAGACATTTGCTGTGGACTTCTCCAAAGCACAGAACAGCCCAGGCTGTACAGAGTTCTTGGCAAAATCTGTATTAAGAAGCCTGAATTTATTTTGGATGTGTGCTTTGTTTGAGAGATGAGAACCATTCCCTTCCTTGTAAATATTTGTAATGAAAAAGGGAAAAATTCTTGGACAAAGGATGATGCCTGTTTCCTTCCTTTTTTCGACATTCTCAAAGTGATAGAAAGAATTAATTTTTCATGGGAGAAGTCAGTCTTGCACAATTCTGAATAATTGCAGAGAAGCGTAATAGCCTTTTACTAAGATTTTTCAACAAATCTGTAGTTTTTGTTGGAGTTTACTTAAAAATAATTTTTTCTTGATTTCAGCTGGTATCAGAGGAACGAATTTCCCAAAGAATATAAGCACTGTAACTCCGTCCATGCAGAACATAGGTGAGTAAATGGAAGTAGCTATGGAGTGCTGGCTTCAGGATTATTCACTGTGTACCAACCTCTTCATGGCGTGGCATCTTGAAACGAGTTGTAAAACTTGTTTTTCTGTAGCCAAGATTTTATTCTAAAATGTAGCAGCCGGTTTTACTTTTCCTGTCTTGTTCTCAATGAGAATCTTTAAATCTTCAAGTTGAATTTTGAGGTAACTATTTCACCGAATGGTTCCTTCATTTTATACTTGTGATCTTGAAGTGATTTTTCTGACACAGGTTGAGCTGGTTATTTATGAAACCCTTTAACTTGAGTTTTGAGCCTGAGTTTTGCAGGAGTTTGAGGGTTTGGGTCAGGTGTGCTGTATCAGTGGCACGTTGCCAGTAAAGTTCTGTCTTTTAAGAGGTTTCATTTAAGGAACAAAAGAACAATATCAATGCTGAGTGCCTCCCAGCACTTGTTTTGAAAGCGATTTAAAGAAATAGAGCAATGCATTCCAAATTTATGGCTATCTTGAGGAAACTGGACACTAAGGTTTTCCTGACACGTGGCAGGTGGGATTAGGGAAGTCGTTCATATAGTGAAATGAATATTGAAAGATCTTTGCGAATGTTTCAGTGAGGTTTGTCTGTATATTTCAAAAAAAGCCCAAACAAACCAACCACTTTTCTTCTATGAATATCAGGAAGTTGGTCTTTCTCTTTTGTTTAACCCTTCTATTAGAAGACATTTCCAGTTAATACTGGTCTTTTTTTCTCTCTCCTTTGTTTTTTTTTTTAAATATATTTTTTCTGTACAGGGGGCCCAGAAGTGGCAGCCTCTCTCATCTTAGGGACATTTTTCATCAGTTTATTCCTGATTCTGTCTGTTGCTTCTTTCTTCTACCTCAAACGTGCCAATAAACTTCCTAATGTTTTCTACAGAAGAAACAAAGGTAACACACCTCTAATTGTTTATTTCGTCTCTGAAGTTTGTCTCTGTGGCCCTTCTCTGCAGGCACTTTGATTCCCACGACAACCACTAGCCCAGCATTTGCTGTGTTAGAGCTCCTTCTGTTGAAAGCAAGCTGTTTACTGGTTAGGTCAGCTAAACAAATAGACCTCCTGGCTTCGTTCGGGTCTCACAGGACTGAGCTTTAGCTTAAAAAGTTTAAAATGAGGAAAAGAAGGGGCGAGTGGAGCAGTACAATTCTGTTTTTTGGCTAAGACTGTTGTACTTGGTCATAGCAGCTTTGTGGAATATCACCTTCCCAGTCTCTGATATCACTTCGTATAAAAGTACACGAGTAGCTACCTAAGGTCTAAATTGATCTGTGCCATGGGAATTGCTAGTCTGCTAATCACAGCTGCCCTGCTGAAGCCTCTAGGTTGCTTCTGCATGTGTCTTGAAGTACATTTAGCTGGGGCAAGTTTTTCTTTCATTTTTTTCAAAGTGGGTCAAGAGCTGTCGTGCTGTGGTGTTTCTAAGCTGGCTGGACACCAGGCTTGTGTTGAGGCTTCAGTGGTGCTGGTCTGACTCCCACATTTTGTACTGGTAGTTCATTCTGGTCCAGCAGCTAAAGCATCGGTGCCCTCCTTTTGAAGAAGAAGCATTAGAAACATTTCCCTGGCTTATTATCGTGTTAGTTTTCATTCTGTCTGGATGATGATTATCACGTGGCCAATAAAGGCAGGAACCTCTTGTATAAAGGAGTTGCACCTTTTCACTTCTCAACTGTTTTATATTTGTACTGCCTTTTTTCTGGTAGTTGGCTCAAAGCAGTGTTTTTCCTACTGAAGCCTCTTCATGTTAAAGAGGTTCTGCTGTGGCTTCCTTCTTTGAAAGCAAAATAAGTCATTCTTGGAGACCTTTGCAACTCTCTTTCCCTAATCTTGAAAAGAGTTCTACAGACAATGTGTTCTGCTAATGGGATTTTGGAATGTACTGCTCTGGATTGGTAGTTTTTGACTAAACTTTTTTTTTTAATAATCTAGTCTGTTGCATGCATGTATTTTTAGGAAATTAGCAGTTCTAGCTTTCTAGTTTAATGATGGTTAGTCTCTCTCTTTCTCTCTCTTCTAGCATCTGTTCTCCAGCCTAGTGAAACAGTAAGTAAATTCTGTCCTTCCAATAGGAACAAGCAAGCATAAAAAATGAAGTAAACAATAAGTTAAAGTTATAACAGTTCATTAGGGAGCTACTTAATCTCATGTATGAGAGACTGAAACAAAAATAAAAAGTGTTTTGGGATTCTTTATCTAAACTGGAAAAAAGTGAAATATCAGTATTGACCATACGGATTCTGTTGAGTTACTTTCTCCAATAAAAGACTATGGTGCACAGTAAATATTACTGGAACCCTAAATCGTTCCTGTGTTTTTTTTTAATGAAAGATTGACAAGACAAAAGGTACTTTATTTGACATGACCATTCTTTTGTTGTGCAGGCATCCATGATACCTCCCCCGACCTCTTCAGGTGAGGAACTGTTCTCTGGGGCATGCTGCTACAAATATTTCGCTTTCCTTTTCTGTAGCCTGTTACAGAAAAGCAGGCAAGCTATCTCCAAGTGGATATGCTAAGAGCACACAGCAAGTCAAAACAATTACCTGTAAAGCCTGATATGGAACTGTGGAATCTGTTGAGGGGTCAGAAATCCAGTGAAATCTGTCTGGTAGAACTTTTTTTGGTAGGGTTTATTGCTTTAATTCCTGTAGCCATGCAGTACTGATGGAGTGCTTTCTGTTAAAAAAGATCTTTGACAGCTCCTAAAATAGATCTTCGACTTCTTTATCCTAATAGAGAAGTCTTACAAGTAGCTGCAATATTTTTTTCCTAAGTGCTCAAAAGTAAATTATTCAGTCTGGGACCTATTTTCAGCATTGGAATCTTCTTGACAATGCCAGGTCAACTCATTTTTCAGGCTTGCTAGCTTGCAGCTTATCAGCTTCTTGAAATAAATAACACAGGCTGTTTGGAATATACTGTTTTGTTGTGTGTGTGGTGGAGGGGTGGCTGTAGGTTGGCTCTTCTTGGCAAGGAGGGTTTGGCCATTAAACTGACAGCCAGTGCTCTTTGTGGAAACTTCCTTACCTTAATTGAGACGTCTGTTTAAACAGAAAGTACAGCGGTTGGGGATTTTGTTAGGGTTGAAAATGGAACATGTAGTATAAGCACCTAGAAATAATGGAAATGCTAGTTTGTAACAAACTTATTTAGTGGGCCATTAGAAGCTTGTTAAAAAGCTTATTTTTGGAATTTTGTTATATCAGCTCTATGTAGGCTTTTTGTGTGCAGTTTTTTTTTTGTTTGAGGCTTTTTTCTTTTTTATTCTTTTAAGGTCCAGAATGACTTCGGTCGCTCAGGTCTTGTTGGCTGGCATGTGTGTTCTGAATTAATGATAAAGGCAGGCTTATACAGCAGATGCTAACGATCTTTCTGTGCCCCCCATTTCAGTTCGGAAGCCACGATACGTCAGACGAGAGCGGTCACTAGTGACGTCGGCATCTGCTGCTATCATCTCTTCTTCCGAAACCAGGGTCAGCAATGTTTAGCCTTCGTTTCTTGACTGAGGACTTGAGGAGTGTACACAGTGTCGAAGGAACCTTTCCTGAATCCACTGAAGTGCCAGGAAAACGTGGCCAGCAGCTGACCTGAGTGGAAGCCAAATTACCGTGTCAAAGTGTTTGTGCCAAATGGTAACGGAGCAGGGGGCTGATGCAAAGGAACTGATGTCGGGCTGCAGCCGGCTCGGTGAACTGCTTTGGTGACCTTGAAATGCACTATTCCAGCTCTGTGGTTTCGCTCGTCTCCGACAGACGCTGTGTTTAAAATCTTTACGGAATCTGCCTTTCTTCTGGTGCGCTTTCAGTCTTGGCGAGTTTCTTCTTCCTGTGTTGTGCTGTGTTCTGTGTCCCCAGAGCTGAACGTCTCGGTGCTGCAGGCCACCGCGAAACACTGGGATTGCTCAAGGGTGTGGAGTCGAAGGATCCTCTAGTAAATGCGAACACCAAGTGCCACTGCTTTAAACTTGTAGGACAAAGTAACAATACTTAACGTGCAGTATCCTTTTTGAAGCAAAAAACCCCGATGCCTCCTGGAGCATCCTCTTCAGCCTATGACCTAGCTGACCCTATTTTTTAACTGTACTTATAGACCCACTATCCAGATCCTGTTGGTCGTGGTGCTTTTGAAGGCTGTGGTCAGTAGGAGACCAATCCCAAGTGTGGGAATTTGCTGGGAAGCTTTTTGAATGGGCTTCAGCTCAGTCCTTGGATGCAAAGCCATTTGCTCTGGGTTTGTAACGGATGAGCTGCTGTGTCTGTCGTGCAAAGACCGTCTCCGCTAGCTTCCTTCCCTTCCTGCGGCAGCTGAAGGGGAACCAGGATTCCTGCAGCGTAGCTGTGCGTCCATGAGACACGGCAGCGAGTACCGCGATGAGCTGGAGGGGTCAGGTGAACTTCTGCCAATGCAATAAGGGGTTTCTTTGGTCAAGCCCTTCGTTAACGTGCCTGACATCTGCAGGCCAGCACCTTATGACAGAGCTCAACAAGGATTTCCTTGTTGGAAGTGCCAGCCTGAACAGCGTCCGCTCTTAGATGCTTGTTCTTGCCCATCTTATGCCAGCTGTGTGGCTGAGTGGTCACTTGATCAGGAACTTAAAGTAGCTGTAAAATTTTTTTTTTTTTTTTTTTGGCTAGGCTATCCTTCACCAACTTTCTTCCTGGCATGGGTGACTCTGTTGCCATGTGAACACACAGGCCCGGTGGCACGGGCATAAGAGTGGGTGACTGGGAAATGAGTGAAAAACTGGAGGTTGCTAAATTGGTTGAAGTGTCGCTGTCACCGTATGCGAAACTGTAACTATGCAGCTTGTGCATTCCCACCTACCTGTGTTGCTGTTGCTGTTTTGGTTTAGCTGGCACTCCGTGATGAGTCCGTGCTCCTTAAATAAATCACTTGGAAGCTCTTCAGCGGCATCCACTGGCATGAACAGAAACTGGAACAGTCGGTTTGCTTTTTCAGGAAAATGTGAATATAACTGCCTTGAGCTGACATGACACCCATATGGAGAGCCTAAGCCTCCTAATCCAGATTCCCTTTTCTCTACAATTAAAAGCTTGTTCAAAAAAGAGAACTGGGATGGGGGGGGAGATATATTTATCTGATTGAACAGACCTGTTTTTACATAAGGTTCAGTGCAGTTGTATTTGCTTTTATCTCTCTCCTTCTCAAAGTAGTGAGATCTTTTGTAGCATTCAAACAAGCCAGGGCAAAGATTGGGGATAAAGAACAAACAATGAAGAAACCCCCATTTAAAAAAAGGAAAAAAAAAACCCAAACCCCACCACCTGAATTGCTGTATGGAGAAACTTAAGATTGTCTTTCTATCACAACGATGGAACTTTTAGTTCTACTGAACAAAACTGAAGACAGCAGACGGTGCCGTTTTGAGCTTTCAATATGAAACGTGCTTTATAGTTCGTGTGTTCCAAGTTCGGGAGGTGGCAGTTTTGTTTCTGTCATTTTGATGTCTTTAAATCACAGCAGTACAAAGACTTTTTTTTCCACTAGTAGAATTATATCTGGAGGTCATAGGGTGTTTTCCTGATATTAGTTGCTGAATATTTTCCTAGCTGCTAAGGAAAAGGAGTAACTATGCAAATAATGCCAAGAAACTGCACCTTTGAAAGCAGGGAGTTTCTGCTTGCAAATCTGTTAACCATAGTGCATTCTTGTGTTGCTTAGTTGCTAATATATTCTTTCTACTCATGAATTATGGAAGGGTCATTCATGTCATTGTACTGTCTGACCCCTATCTTACCCTCAAGTGCATATTGTAACTTAGTTTTTCATGTCAAGCATCTAATGCTCTAACTTCTGTGCAGTCAAATTTTTCTCAATTATGACTTCTCCCCTCCCTTTCCCGTAATCTTCCCCCGCCATCCCAGAAAAGTCCGTTAAACACAGCAGATATTTTTCCTATTCTTTTGTGTTTCAGGAACTGCTCGGCTTTTGTTACTGTCTTCTTATCCAGTGGACTCTTGGTCTAAACAATTTCTCATTTGTTTGCACTGTCAAATTAAATATGTAATGTAGTGTTTTGATTTCTATCTCCCTTCAAAATAATATGTACCTATAGATATTTTAAAAATTGGCTTTAACGAACCCTGATATTTAATGTATTTGTATATTTTTAAATTGTGCCAAAATAAACATATTTGAGCTTTTTTTTTTTTTCATGATGGTGGAGGTTGTTCATGTGTTTCCTTTTCAAGCACAGAAGGAAGGGAGCAAAATTAGCACCCAAAGTAGCTCATTGTTTCAGCTCAGTTGGTGCGTTACCTCTGTCAGAACTGAAGGTTGGAAAAAAAAAGATCTGACTGCTTTTGCCTCCTTCTACAGTAGGAGAGCCAGGCTCTTCTTCACACCTTGCAACCACAACCGTATGGCCGAAGCCACCCATTTAGCTGGAAGAAACTCTTTAGCAGAGAACGCAGCTTGAGTAAACGACAGGATTTTTACATGAGCGTCTGTTCACTTAAATTTCATTCAAAGAGTAGCAAGAAAACTCTACAGGAGGAGGCTACTAAACAGTGCCCGATGTACCAGAGGTTGACATAATCAGGGTAATTTCTTACCACTTAAAGGGGGAGTTATCATCTTGGTTTGAGTGTCTTCTCCCATCTGATGTGGGACTAAATTTAAGTGTGCTCTTCTCCCCTCTCTGCCAGTTTGATACTCTTGTTGGACTTCTTTCTTACGAATGGATCTTGTGATCTTAACCCCAGTTCCCAACACAATCTGTAACAATGAGAGCTGAGCCGAAGGAGCTGGGGATGCTGAGCCATGTGGTCTGAAATACTAGTGGTTAAATTTGTTAATGCTCTTTTCCTTTCCCCCTCGGGAAAAAAACAACTAGCTGGAGTAGCCTGATGGATGAGAAAGATGCTGCTTTTAGAGAAGTATGCTGATGAGGAAGGAGAGGCCAAATGTTTAAATGCCTATTGTGCATGCACTGGGGGAAGTCTAATAAACTTTGTTGTCAAAGCCAAGGTGACAGTGTCGCATATGGAGAGAAATTGTCCTAGAAAATTATCCCACCGAGACAAGAAGACTTAAAAGGGGATTTGTCAGTTAAATGGGCTCTGACCACCGTGCACAGGAAAATCTCACAGCCTTTGCGAGGAGGGAGTGCCGAGTGTCGCTGCCAATTTCAGCCCCTGAACTCCGTCGGGTGACTAATGGCAAGAAGCGAACTGGGGAGAGCTGGAAGTGGATGTACAGCAATGGAATGATTTGAGACTATTTTGCACACCTGAGAGGAGCTCTCCCCGTATCCGTATAAGGCCATGTGAAGGTGAGTGCGTTGTAAATGGAAGACTGGGGTAATTGTTTCTTAAAATCGTGAGTCTAAAACCTTGCGTTCACTGAAATCTCGTATCTGCTTGTGGGCCTCTCCAGAAGGCTGGTGTCACGCATAAAGAATGAAACAAATAATATCACATAGAGACCCCAAAGTATTTTGCTGAGTTTGCTAGATGAAGCGATCAAGCTTTGTGCAAGCATCATGACTTAGGTTCAACCTCTGCCTTCCCCATCGCATTGATCCAAGTTCACAGAACCCATGTGCTCAAGTTGTCTCTTGTGTCTTTTGCTGCAATTTTTTTTCCTCTGTCTTATCTCCCCAAAAGCTTCTTGGGAACATTGCTTGAAAATTCACCTGGGATTACAGGCACAAGTCTGTAACTCCCTGACAGTAACAGTTGAAGGCTGAAAGCTGTTAAACCAGAAAAGAAATTGAAGTGGAAAGAAGAAGCCAGGGAGACAACTTAGGTGCAAACTGGGGAAAAGAAAAAGTAAGGCTTTTTTGCTCTTGTCTCTCTGCAGTAACACAAGATGTGATCTCGGTTGCATGGGCAAGGAGGGTACAAAAGCTTGATATGAGGTTTGTTGAAAAGTCTAAAGGCTGCTTTGCATTTTTGTCATTTATTTTTAATGCTCCTTGCCAAGAGAAAAAGAAAAAAAGAAATGATGTAGTGTTTATCGTCTTAATAGCCTTGACATATTTTTATTGCTAACTGATTGGAAGCAACAGTATGCAGACAATTGCACTTCCCATTTCAGAGCCTGGTGATTTATGTCCCTTAGTTAAGTGTTAGAATTGTTTTTAAATGATGCTTCCAGCAAGATGGAACGCAGCTCTAAGGTATTTGCTCCAAATGATTAGGTCTCTGTCATTAAGGTAACAGGACTAATATAGGAGGGGTTAGCTTTTAGACGTGTCATTCTCATTTTGCAATGAGTGCTGCTTATAAATAAGTCATCTGTTTTGTTGCAATTCTACATCCATCAAATTGTAATGTTCTCTTCTGCTTTACAGTCCCAGTCCCCGCAGGAACGCTGACATGTGGAGCGCTCAACTTCCCAAAGCGCCGAGGCTCTTCCCTGATACCGTAGCATCATCCGTCGGCTCATCAAATTTACAGTCGTTTGATGCCTGTGCCTGTAAAACTCCATTGATTTTTCTGATGACAATTACTCCCCTTTAAACACCAACACGCAACTGTTCTTTCCCAGAGCAGGAGCTTTTCTTGCAAACTTAAACCTCAACCTGCTACTTTTTCTCCGTTCTCTCCATTGTGTTCACGCTGCAGGGCCCCGAGAGGCAACCCGCAAAGCGCAGGAGCTGGCACCAACATTTGTAAGTTCTCCTCATGCTAGGAAGAATTCCTAGATTTATGTAACGAAACGTGAAACTTTCGCTGGAGGTAAGGAAAAGGGAGATCTGCAATAAGAAGGCGAGCGGAGATGGTGGTGACCTGCCAACGGGACGTGAAAGCGCCTTTGTGCCCATCCCTCCACCCGTGAGGTTGGTTTAGCCCTGGGGATCCGGCCTGTATTCTCCGGCCTGAGCTTGCCTGGAGGTTTCCCTTGGCTCTTGCGGAAACCACCGGCTGGTTGTGGGGTGGCTGTGAAGTCTAGACAGCCCTGGGCGTAGTAGGCAGCTCTGCTCTGCAGCACGCTTTCGTTCCTCGGTAGGTTTGCTCTGTGTCTGCCTGGGTG